CTCTCTCTCTCTCTCTCTCTCTCTCTCTCTCTCTCTCTATCTCTCTATGTCACCAGCGTAATTTGAAAAATAGCGATTTATAGATTCTTTCTAATTTCATACATACACACATTCAACATACACGAAACACGGTCATGAACCGTACGACTTTGTAAAATCACATTACGAATTAAAAGTAGATTGTTGCGAGGAAGTCGAGGGCAGGAAAAGGTTTTGCGCCAAGTTGGGTTGTCCTGGCGGTTTATTTGACAATCGGCCGATGGCAGACGCAGAAGTAGCAGGATTATAGACGTTATCCAGACCATGATACGATATGAGTGCCGACAAAGCGCTCCGAACACCAGCAGTGGCCAACTGGGACCACCTCCAGTGAGAGCTCACGGCATCGTCACCGGCATACACTGCGTGCGCATCAAAATTGCCTGGCATATGCGGTGTATCTACAGGAAAAATTATTTATCAATATCAATGCAACGTATATAATGCTGGGAGTATTAAGCGTAGTATGCGTATACCTAGAAGAGGTGGGATTAATATGGGAAGATGAGGATCCAGTTGTCCACCTGGTCGAGCATTTGCGATAAGACGAAGCTCTGCGCGTAGATCCCCCAACAACTGTACCACTTTGGAATCGCACTGTAAATTATTATAGATGTTAAGAATTAGAAAAAATATTTTATATTCTTAAAAAATATTTCCTTAATCTTTAATAAATATAAAAATTAGATATTGGTTATTGTAAACGAAGCGATTATCACAATTGAGGTACATTATTACAGAAAATTGTCTAACAAAAATCTCTTTACATAATTACCTCATTCTGGTCTGACCGCAACGCGAGAAGATCATCGACCCGAATCGGTTTTCCCTGATTCAAGGCGTCCGAGAGAACTATCAGTCTCCGGGATAGATTATCTTCTGTACACTCCAATTGATCTCCCTTCAGATTCGACTGCGATTTAATGGGTGAAGTATTAAAATAGTACGATGGCGTAGACACTATGTACGGCCCGCTTTGATTAAACAAATTATCTTCACCATAATGAGCTTCTGCACCAAGTCTGCTCGGGTATGAGTTATAGCCTGCTTCCATCTTTAGTCGTTTAGAAGACCTGTAATAAAGTTACAGGCCATGCATGAAGATTTGATAAATACGACTTAAATAAAATAGAAACGAGTATACATAATGAATGAAATTGATTCATTTGCAATTTATACGAAATTCATTTATAATTGAGTGATTAATGATATTTTCTTAATTTCCAATCATTTAGATATTTATATACAACTTGTTAACAAAAAAATTATGAACATTATATTTAACTCGTCATTAATAAAATATTGTTGTATTTAGTTTAAAGAATAATGAAAGAATAATGGAAGATCATGCAACTAGCAAGCCATACAAACGTGTCTTAAAGCAAGCTCAATTACAGATGCACTAAAATTACATATATACATGCGCATACATACGTATTAATATATAAAGATATAAGTGAAAAATTGTATTTATTGTTTATTTATGTAACAATCTTGTAGAACAATGAAGAATAGCAAGATATTTCCTCTTCATTACGAGTTAATGCATCGGTGTACATACATATAATATCCTATATAAAACAATATTGTACAGCGGTTGTTATCGCTATACACTTCATTCAATTATCATTTGGTTAGCTCAAGCGAATGGGTTATATGATTCACATACTTGATAAATATGAGTAAAAAATTGGACACACTGAATGTAAACACGTATTAAGATTTGAAACTTTCATTACCTATTATATATTCTTACAAGTGTTACAAAAATTGTCCATTTATAATTCAGCCACAATTATATTATCTCCTGAAACATAATTTTTTCCTATTAGATATTGTGCCAATTATTTTGTTTATAATTTATCTAAAGTCATATATGTCACTTTTTACATATTCCACAATACAAAGTGGTATAGGCACGTGATAATTATATTAACGTCATGTCTACATGAGACAATAATTACTATACATATATGTATACATATCTGAATAACTCAAATATATATATTTTTCTATATGCAGTATACATTATGTATTAAAATACATATATATATATATGTATTTAAATTATATAAATTTATATATTATATATAAACCCATTTATAAATTATTCTAATTACACTTTACATTCTTACAGAGTCTCACAACATTCTAAGGCATTATCAGTATAATATTCACGAGTGATAACTGCATTTTACGTATTAATAATGGAATAATATTTATTATAACATTATGTGTGAATGAAAATATAGATGTTTATATATATATATTTTTTTTTTTACTTGAATATGTTCGTATAAACAAATTTTTGGAAGATTATTTAAAAGAGAGAAAGAGAATCTAATATTACAATTTGAATAAGATAACCATTTTTTCATACCATAAACATAATCTTTTACTACGTATTACCGATACAAATAAATCAAACAGATATACACAAATAAAATATATTAGATTTTACTTATTGTAAATTCTTGAATAAAAGTTATATGTAAAAATATGTGACATATTTTGAAACATTATATTTTTCAAAGTATTTTACATCATTATTTATAAATGTACATGTTATATATACGAACATTATTTTATTTATATTAATAGATCTTCATCTGCATTTCTTACATTGTATATTTTTGCACAGAATATATTATAATATAAAAGATCAAATGTTTCTTTTTTTTTTACTTTTTGAAATACATTATATATTTTTGGATATAAAACATGAAAATTGTCTCATTATACTGTAATCTATTGGTCCATTAAAGACGGTGCAAATTATGTAAAGATCATGATTTTATTGTTTTTCAACTCAAAAGACAAATACATATATGCTTTTCTATTTTTTTTTAACACAAGGAAGGATTTGTGTTGTTCAATTAATCTTAATATTGTCAGGTAAATATATACGTATTATATATATATATGCATACACATATATACACATGTATGTATACACACATACACACACACACACACATATAGATATATGTATATAATATATAAATAAAAGATGTGTCAGGAGGCATCATAAACTTTGGTATTTAAAACGATTTTGTTATATCGTTTTTGTATATACTTATTTTATATATATTATTACATATATATTATTTATATATATATATGTATGTATAAGATATTTTTGGTAATGAATTCCGTTTCATGCATGATGCGCATGATGTATCATTTTATCCTTCTTTAATATTCGAATAATATCGAGGATAAACTGACACATTATGTACATGCGGAACACACCCTTTACAATAAAGAAATTTGAGAATAATTTCTATTATGTAGAAAAATGCATATATATATATATATATATGAGAATGTGCAGTATATGTACATATATATTTAATAGTATATCATAAATACATATAAATTATGTTGTTAAAAAAAAATCTATTGAAATTTTTAATATTAATTAGTATTTAATATAATAAACATTTTAATTTTCATTCTATACTATTCTCATATTTATACTATTGGTATTGTGCTTGATTTACTATCAAAAACATGATTCAAACAATTATATACTAAAGAAATGAAACATTTAATTTACCTGCCTTTATTTCTAAAAATAAATAACGAAAAAAAATTATACGTGTCAAAATATTTGTGGAATAAGTAAAAACAGTAACATATATTTTATGATTATTTTACATATATTGAATCAGTGAACGCTGGTAAATAAGTATTTTCCATGATAATTATCGAATGCTGCTTTTTGAAGAGATACTAATACACATAATGTGTATATATACATATATGTAACCATAAAATAAAAAAAATACTAGAACCTAAAAAATTTTAATAAT